AGCAGGCTCCCACCCAATGTTAATGTAATTAAACATTGAGGGGACATTCAGTGAGCTGTGCTTGGTACCTGCCAGCCCTGATTAGCTCCTGATGGCAGCAGGGTCCTTCACACATGTGTGGGGCTCTAGGACCATCCCCAGGCAGTTCCCCTGTTTTCTGGGGCTCCTCTCAACCCACTGCAAGGCTCCAAGGCAACAGAATTCAGTGGAGGGGAGAAGTAAGAGTACAAACAAGGATATTGCTGGGTGACTCTGCGTACAGCTGGGATTTATCTCCCATCTAGCAGCTCATGCATGCACGCATGTATTTTGGTTTTTCAAAGAGTGGGAGTAGTCTGGTCAAGTTTTCCTTTTGCATTTTCAGTTTCCTTCTCTCCACCCCCAACAAACATCACTCTCTGGCAGAAAAGACCAGGGGAGTAGTGTACCTAAGATCTGCCAGGTGAGTGACCACCTGCTGATCAAAAACCCTGAAAATAATCATAGGCTAAAAATAGGGTAAAAATAATCTGTTAAGTTATTCTTGCATTGTTAAAAAGAGCTGAGAGTCTGTCTCAGCAGCAGTGATTTAAGTGCTCCTTCAACCCTAAATGCTGCCAGAGCCACCCTGAAGGAGCTTTCCCTGCCATTCCAATGGTGCTGGGCCAGCCTTCAGTGACTCTGTGTGCTCTGTCACACAGGATGGGGCAGGACAAGTCTCACAGCACCACAGCCTCCTGTGGAGCCAGTGAGGTTCCATCACCAGCCAGGGGCTCTGTACAAATCACAGACGGGATGGGGCTGCTGTAGAATGCGCCTCGAGCTGTTTTATTTTTCAGCATCACTCTCATTACGTGGTTATGACAATGGGAAGATGCCAGCAGCTCACATCCCAGGCAGCAGACCAAGAACTTAATGGTACAACTTACTTTATAAGTTTTTTGACCTATCACACAAAGCAAAAGCACATTGACAGTAGTTCTATCCAACCACTATAAGCACAGGTACCTTTGGTTAAAACAATGCTTGCTTATTTTGAATACAATACCTGCTTGTAGGCCTTAAAACACAATGCACAGAGCTCCATTATTAAGCTTCAATCTTCCTAATATCTTGCTAGATAAACTTTTCTGTAGCTTAGAGAGTTATTCTAGACAAGCGTTAATACACAGACCAATGTTCTATTTGTCCTTGCTTTTCTATTTTTTAAATAATTTTTCTGCTGACCTATCTCATGGCTGCTGCTTAGCTCTAATCACAGTTCTGCTGCCTCTGAGACCTGCCTTTTGCAGCTTTTTCAAACCCCTCTAATTTTGTAGATTGCCACAAGGTTCCATAACCTGTGGATGGAGGTGGCTGCTGCCACCACTGATGGGAAGATTGGAGTCTGACAGCCAGGAGCTGAAGCAGACACAATAGTTGTCTAGATGGTTGAGTAAGTCTGTTTGTTCCCATTTCTGTGGGAGTTCTGAAGAATCTGTAAACTGTTTTCTTGCTTGCTGTTTTGGAACAGAAATTAAAATCTCAGATGGTTGATGGTAGAAGTCTGGATAACCTCAATATTTCATCTTTGATTTTGACTTCCTAACATTTTATGTACTTCTTCAGAAGCCAAGAAATCAGTTAACATGCAAAAGTGTTTATTAATAACAGAAAGGAAGAAAAGTTTTTCCATGTTCTATTTCTCACAAAAGGTCTAAATGTACAGCAAGGAAACATTAAAAAAATATAAAAGAAAGAAAGAAGCTGATGGGTGAGAGGAATAATTGATGACTGAAGGGTGTATAGGGAATGGGCTCTTTGTGTATCTGCTCTATCATGAGCCAAAGCTAAGAGTCAAACTGAAAGACAGCAGATTAGTTAACAACCTCTCCATTTAAGTACATTCCAAAAAGTCAAATTACAGCAGGAAGAATCTGGGCTCACCTCCGTCTCTGCCCCAAAACATCATTGTTCATTCTCACAGCCTGGCCAGAGGCCAGCTGCTGCCAGGCTTTTAGCCACAGCGTGTATTTAAAAACCATTCTGCAGTCCTATTTTCCTGTCAGTCCAAGTGAAACCACTGTAAACAACCACTTTCAAGGGTACCCATGTCCAACAGAGGCTGCTGCTGGGCTCTCTGGGGTTGGTGGGGCAGGGGGCAGAAAGGATGAGGAGCTCCAGAGCAGAGCACTCCGTCCTCTCCTTCTCCTGCAAACATCGGCTCAAGCCTGGAAGGGGTTTTTCCAGCCAGGATCAGGCTCTTCAACAAACCATGGGGTTGGTTTGAGCTCTGCACATAACACCAGTGGAAATCTGGTCACTGGACTCCTTGATGGTGGCAGTCCATCACAGCCTGCTATGGGCTGGATGAAACCCCAAGGGAAAGACAAACATATTGCACAGAACTGTCAAAAGCCCCAAAGAAAACAGGTGAGGGAGGCAAAATTCCAAGGAAAGCCTCCAACTGAGAGTGTGTTTGGCCATTGTTTTTCCTGTGGATCTAGGCATGGATTTTGTGAGCTCCCCAGCCAGCCTGACTGCTGTAAGACAACACAGGACCAGTGAAGTCCTCTCTTATTTATTTTAAATTACCCCTGCAAGAGAATTAATAAAAATAAACAAACCCCTTCCTCCCCACCCCCGCCCCCGTTTCAATTGCACAGTGGGAACAGGGAGTAGTTGTTTGGGTTTGGGGGTTTTCTACATTTTCTCTGGAAATGGACATTTTCCTTTGAAAATAAGTGAAGAAAGCAAGCAAGCAGTGAAAGCCAGCTCTGATTAAACCCCAAGCCTCTCAGCTGTTGCATTCATTTATTTTGCTCTGCTTGCCTTCTTTACAGTCTAAAGAAAGCTTCTGCCCTGTGCAGGGCCCTTTTGCCAGGGCTGAGGAGTGGGCTGGCAGTGGTGCTAACGATTGGTGTGAAGGCCCCTGCCCTGCTCCACTCCAGTGCCTGCCCCACTTACCATCATTTTTGTGGCACCCCTGGGGAGCTGGCACTGCCACATCCACTGGTGTATTTCACCGGGGGAAAGCAGATCCTGCATCCCTGTTCTGGTTTTGTGGCAATTCTCCTGAGCTAGGAATGGAGGATCACATAGATCATCCCAGTCAGACCCTGCTTTATTCCCTGCAGGCCTTGCTGTGCCCTGCAGAGTTTGTGTGCTCAGTGCCTGGCTGCCCCCGCAGGCAGAGGACCTGCTCCCAGAACAGAAGCATCCCCAGGCTTATTTCTGTCCCCTCATGTGAGAGCTAGGGGCTGGTTTGATCATGTCTCAGCGCTCAGAGATATAAATATCGTTGGTAGGATGTCTCCCTCTCTGCCTGGGACTCTGTTTGCTCACACACATGCACTCGCACAAACTGTAGGTGGCACTTGGAGAATTAGCAAAGATGCTGCTGTGTCCTGTGCCGGGCCATGGCTCTGTGCACCAGCCAGGAGCAGAAAAATGGATCAGTTTGTAGGGAGAAAGGCAGAGAGGGAGCAGAGCCTCCCCTGGAACAAAACCCCGCTCGTTCCTTGCCTTCACTGGGATGCGGCATTCAGCTGCTTCCAGCCTGTGGGAGAGACGTGCCAATACCCTGCACTTTTCTCTACAGTATGTTTTATTTATCTGCCTCAGAGGAGGAGGTTTGCTGTAGTTATCACCCCAGGAGTTCAGCTGGATACAAATGTTAACCAACTGGAGGGGAAGCAGCTTGCTCAGAAGGTTTTATCGTTGTTTAGCACACAGCAGCGAGTGCCAGGCACAGATTATGCATTTGCAGAGCTCCTGGCCCTCTCCTGCCTGGATTGTCAGCATGGGAATTCAAACCACACGGATCAATTTGCTGTCTGTCAGCAGCTGGGCACTGAAGGGCAGCCCTGGATCGATCCGTTCTTGGAGCACTGTCCTCATTTCAGGGATTACACGGTTTCCTCTGTGCTGTGTTAACACTTTAGCTGCTGGGTGTTAGTGAGCTCTGCGTGTGGTTATCACTTTGGGATGGTATCTTAGAGAAGTTTGTGTGTTCAGGATATGAATCTTGCACAAAGCTTGCTCTGTGGATATTCAGTGTTGCTCTATATGAGGTGGAGGCTGGCCTCTGATTGTGTACCAGAGGGACAGGGAATCCCTTCTTTCAGTCAGCATAAACCTACATTCTGGAAATTATTCTGTGCTTTTCATGCAGCTCTGAATGCCTCTGGAATGCACATCCCTGGTATAATACTAAAGATGAAAATGGAGAGAAGTTTGCTGCAGTTCACATGCTGAGAAGCCCAGGAATGCTTCTCAGCCTGCTGAAGTGCCACCACATGAAAACTTGCAAAGTTTCTGGCCTTTCTGGCATTGGGAGAGGATATGTGAATGTCATCATTCATTTTTACAAACAACTAAGCAGCTTAGCTGTCTGTAGGAGTGGGGCCATGTGTGAAGAGTTTCAATCCTTTGTGGTTTGGAAATTGTTGCTCAGTGCTTGGAGCTGACCTCAGGATCCCCTTTTAGCATTCCTCACTCCAGAGCTGCTCTCAGCTGATGGGATGTGGAGCCTGGCAGCACCTGAAAAGCCAGCCATGGCAGGGAAGGGCCATTCTATGGGCCTCTGGGTATTCTCAGTTGCTTGCAGCAAAACTTAGCAGCCAAAAGGGTAGAATGGACTGGGACCATACCCTGTAAGCCACTGGCAGGGGCTCCCAGAGCTCTGCCTGGTTGGATAAGCAAGGCCTGGGGAAGAGATCAGCTGCAGGTCCTGCCTAACCTGTGCTTGTTTTCACCATTCAGGCACTGGGTTAGGATCCAGTATCAGTCCCAAGTGTTATTGGCAAATTATTTCCATTCTTCTTTCCTCCTTGAGCACCTTTGTGCTCTGATTGCTGCAAGTTTGGATGGAGCTGGGTGAGCAAATGCATTTCTTTTTGCCAAAGGCCACGCCCCTTGTTTATCATCCACCCTGGTGCTGGTGAGTCTGGAGTTCTCTGCTTAGGGAAATGGGCTGGAAGTGTGTGTAATGTGAGCTCTACTGCAGTATTTTCTTTCTTATTCTTTCCATTTTGTTTCAGGTGGATGCATTGATGATGCCACTGTGTTAATCATGGTGTTAAAGCAGAAGAATGCATCTTGCCTGTGTCAGCACAAGTGATTGGCTTGGGAAGACTATACAGGACCTTGTATGAGCACAGCTGCAGGTAAATCTGCATTGGCAGTCCAAGGTATACCTAGAAATATTCGTCTAAGAAGTCTGCATTTCAGGAAGATATCAAAACCAATAAACCCCAAGAATCACAGTATAATCCCACCCTATCAATACTTTGCTGAAGTTTCCTAATGATAAAAACAGCCATGCAAAATCCACACCTTTTTAGTTTTATCCCCCCTCTCCCCTGCCAAACCCTCTCAAGTATGACATCAGCCTGAGCCCTGCTCGTTTGGATCCTCAGCCTTCAGTGCCAGATGACAGCAGAGCCACTGAGGCTTTGTTAGCTTTAATCGTGCTCAGTGTGGTGGAGCACAGCAGCTGGAATGATTGGGAATATCTCCCAGCTCGTGTGGGGGCATTGGTGCTGAAGGAGAGGGAGACAGGGGCAGTGAAGGAGAGCTGGCAGCACAGGAGCAGCAGTGCTGCAGTCCAGGGGCATTTCAGCAGCTTTCAGCAGCTCTCTGGGCTGTTGATGCCTGCTGGGTCTGGTGCATCATCACAGGCTGGGTTTGCCTGAGACTCATTTATCCCTGTCTAACATGGGATTGTTATATACAATATAAACATTGTTGTTATAAACACTGGGTTTGGCTGTTGGTGAGGCACAACTCACTGCAGTGCAAATGTGCTGGTCACTCCTTACACTGGATATTCACAAAGTCCCTTGGAAACAAATTCTGCCCCAAGTCTTGTTCACAGAGTTAATGGAGGGTCACAGTGCTGGCAGCTGTGAGCAGCCACTCCTTGAAGCTGGCAGAAAAGCCACTCCTGAAAGCACAGTGAGATCATCCCCTGTGCACACAGGGACCTGCAGGAGCGGCCTTCTTAAGGACTTGCACTGCTTTATCTTAATCAAAAACATTTATCTGAGTTTGGAAAAAGTTGAAGCCTGCCCAGGTTTACTCTGCGTTAGATGCAAAGACTCTTTGTAAAATCAGCCAAAAACCATGGATCCTCCTCTTAGCTTAAGCTTGCAGTGCATGCATTCCTTCCAGGATCAAACATGTGTGAGGCTATTTTGAGATTTACAGGGTAGAAAGCAGTAAATTAAAATGTCATAACCATAGTGGTTGCAAAGTCTTGGAAATCAGAGGTGATACGTATTTTCCAGCTAGGTGTTATCCCAGCTTTCAATTCTACCTAACCTGGAATTAGGATTTTCTGAAGGTAACTAGCCTGTTTGCAGCAGTTATATCCCCTTTTCAGCATTTGTCATCAACCCCTAAAGCAATCTTTTTGATTTGCTTTGATCTTTTGGATTTTGTCTGTTTGATCTTTATAGGTCTCTGCCAAACCAAATTGTGATTTTGCTTTTCGTCCCCATCATTCTGCTGTCCTTTCTTTCTCTACCACAGGTGATACACCTATTTCTGCAGGTATCTACAGTTCCAAACCAGACTTGGGACTTCAGGTAACTCTCAGGTAATCACATGTGCTTAAAGCAAAACCAACAATCTTAAAAGTAAGCTCAGGAGGCTGTTTTGGATGCTACATGTATATAGCTGTGTAACAAAAACCCTAACATGCCATAGTAAACTTTACTTAACAGATTGCTTAATCTCTACAAATGTTAACCTCCAGGTTTTTATTTACTGAGCTGGTGTTTAATGATGCCATTGTCTAATTGAAATGTGTTCATTCCTTCTCCAAGTGCCACTGCTAAGCAATTTACTGATATATTGCAGGAGGACTGGATGGGATTTTCTTTGTTTCAGAGTAAACTTGGGAGACAGATGGTGTGCAGACAGTACAGATGTGACAGCTTCCATTGCTTTCTTTATGGAGTCTTTCTTGCCAACTAAGCACTTTTGTGCTCAAATGGCAAAACTGTAATTTTCAGAGGCACCATAGAGAATGGGCAGGAGTACAGGAGGAAGGAGATTTAGATTTGTGCCTCTTCATCAATGTGGAAATTCACTTCCAAACCCAGAGCTGGAGGTTGCTGGAGCCCAGTTCCCAGCAGCTCTTGAGCTCAGGCCATTGCACAGACGGAGCAGCTTGGAGACTCCCAGTACTTCTCTTTTTCCTACTGAAGCTTCCAAAAACAAACCTATGGCTCACTCTTTTGCTACAGAGAGAGAGACCAGACCCTGGTCTGGTGCCAAGACCAGCCCAGATCACCCCTCAAGGCTGGGTGGGAGCAGAGAGCAAGGGCAGGCAGACCTGGTGCTGCTGGTGGGAGCAGACTCCCAGAGCCAGGTGGCATTTTCATTCCAACATCAAACACCTGTAGATGGGGACATTCAGAAAAACACATTTGTTGACAATGTGGGTTTATTTCCCCTTGGTGCATGAGGCAGCAGCAGAATTGACATTGGACATCCTCAGCCGGGTGATGTTCACCACAGGGACAGAGAGCCATGGTGGCTGGCACACAGGGAGGATCACCAGCTCTTTTCAAATGCACTCCCCTGGATTATCACAAAGGTAAAGAGCTCAGCAGAAGAGGTGTAGTTCCATTTCCTCCCTGTAAAGGATCTTGTGGGCAGCCTGGCTGCAGCGTTGTTGTGCTGCTCAGCCGGGAGATGATGGGCTGGAGCTTTTGTCTCTGACAGTCCTGGGGACTCTGCTGTTACTGTGGGTTCTTTTCACCACCAGCTGCCTGCCTGCTATTCACACTAAAACACCAGGAGCCAGTGATAAGGAAGGCCAGGTGTGGCCCTAGCCCATTTCTTAGAAGTTGTTCGCCTTTTGTAAGCCAGTGCTTTCAGCAGTGTGTGTTAGAGAATGAAATCTGAGCTGCTCTGAAGCCCATGGGACTTGTGCCAACTGGGCTGGAGTTTCAGCCTGGAACAAAAGACCAGAGCTCTCTGAAATACTGCAAAATGTGAAATTCTGGCCACAAGCCTCTCTCACTTTTGAATTAAGAGCTTTATTTATTTATTTATTTATTTATTTATTTATTTATTTATTTATTTATTTATTTATTTATTTTTGCAAGGGGCTCTAGAAGCCAATTTTCCTCTCTGTGAGGACAGCTGAGTCTGTGCTGCCTGCCCTGGATATTCAGGGCCACTCCCTGGACAGAATTTCCTCCCTGCTCTGGCACCATCCTGGCAGGACAGATGTGGTTGGAACAAGATCCCTGGTGAGCCCAGAACGGAGCTGGGCACAGCTGGCAGTTTATGCTCTGAAATTTAGGCAGCTGAGGGCCAGGCAGGCTGTCAGCAGCTGCTGCCATGCAGTTCTGTCTGCACACTGCCTGTGGACACATGGCCAGGGGATCTTGGGGTCTGCCATGCATTTCTGTCTGCACATTGCCTATGGACACATGGCTGGCACAGCTCGGACACTCCTGGCTCCCCCTAATAGGATTAGTCAGCAACAGTGCTAGAAATACTCAGAGCAGCCATCTGTGGAGAGATGACCCTGTCTCTGTGTGTTTGTAGCAGCTGTATGGCTTTAATGTGCTCCTGTTCATGGGCTGTTGTTAATTTTCATTAATGTCATACCATTCAATGCAGAAAGGAAAGTCTCTGGCTCAGAGCAAAAGCCACCCTAGGACTGTGGGACTCTCATTCATCTGACAGTGGAGGAAAATCGCCCACAGGATCCTGGGAGAGGGATGCTGCTGCTGTGTCTGCACTGAGGCCATGGCCTGGCCCTGTGGCTGAGGTGTGGAAGGGCTCTGCTCCCACAGATGAAGGGATGAGCTGCCTGCAGGAAATCGCCTGGTTTAGCTTCTTCTCCCTGATGGTGCCACCTCTATTGCAAATTACTTTGCTGTTAGAGGGCTATGGTTTCAGTTCATGCAGCTTCTAACATATTTTGTTTTTTATCAGTTTATGCAAGGAGCCCATTGCTGTGCTGTCTGACTCCAGAGTGCCCATGTGAGGGCTGACAACCCCAAAAGTGCAGTGCCCACATTCCCAGGGCCAATTCCCTCTGCCTCACATAGGCAGGCAGTGTCAAACCAGGTAAGGGGGGAAATATTAGAAATTTAGCAACTTAGCACATGTGCAAACGTGCCAACAGGCAGGAGTCCTCAGAGCAATAAGATAAAACATTTCAAGTTACAGAACAAAATATTTTTTCTGGGGTACTGAAATACATGTCTTTAATGTGCTGTTACTGAGGTTTAGTGGCAAACCAGAAGGCTGTTTAAAAAATCCTTGCTTCATGTTGCTGTAGTCCACATCATTGCCCAACATATCATGAAAGACAATATTATCCAGCTTTTGAATTGGTTCAATACCAATTACTTTTCTGCTTCAAATATCAAGAAGCATTTTTCAAAAAAATTGGTTTTGCTTAGGTGTTACAGAAAATAAAATTAGCAAACATCAGAACTCTGTCTTGGGAAATTTGCTGCAAAGCAGGTACAAGCCTAACAAAAGTAATTATAAGTGAGTGCTGATAATTTATTTACTGGGATAATGCCATTGTTAGAGATGTCAAAATCCTTGTTTATCTGTTTCTTTTTTATCTGCACAAGTTGTTTTTAGAATGGGTTTCCATGCTTCCAGCAGTAGGAGACTCCAAGTTTCTAATGAGGCTGTAAGAAGTACAAGGACTTTTCCATGGGAGCAGGGAACTGGAGTCACATTGGATTTTGGAGTGGAGCAGTCCCCATTTGAGTTTGGCCAGAGGATCTGTGTCAGACTGGGCTCCTGAGTGAACATTTATCCCTTTTCTGGGCTGCACCACATTGGGGTGGCCATGGAAGGGTTGGTTCATTAAGTGACTCTTGGAAAAACCTCTTGTGCAGGAGACAAGGGAAATGCAGCAGATCTGACGTTCAGTCAAGGACAGGTTCCTCTTTAGGGTGCCATCATGGAGCTCATATGGAGCTGCTGCCTCTGGAGAGCTCTAATTCCAGCAGGGAGCTGTGCTGCATCCCAAAGCAACAAAGTACATGTGCACTTAACAAACCCAAGCTCAGCTCCTTTTGCAAACCAAAATAAATTGTTTCCATGCCTGCCCGGATTCTAAATTAGCAGAACAAACAGTCATTTAAAATGAATGATTTCAAGTCAGAGGAATACAAATCAGAGGCTGTGTTTTCTCTCGTTGGAAAAATAGTGTTCCAACAAAAAAAATATTACATAGGTTTTTAATCTTCTACAGATGGGATAGAAGATAATAAAGTGGTCAAGAGACAATATAACACATCTGGCTCCACATCTGACAATTCCAGATATTGACAAATCATTCTTTTTGGTGCTTTTACACATAGCAAGGGTTATCAAAGACCACATTTTTATTTGGCTTATGTGACCCTGCACCCAGAAAGATTTTACCCCAGAATCCACCAATATGGGCAGTTTCTGTGGTCTGTTGTGCTCTGCAGGAACCCCAGAAGCTCTGACAAAAGACATCCTTCAGGTTTTGCTGGAGAAGAGTGGTGGTGCAGGAGAAAAGGAGGAAGGAGTGCCTGTGGTGCCCTGGTTTGAAGGGGAAATAAAATAGAGGGATCAGGCAACACTAGCTGAGGCTTCACACAGAGCTGTTTGGAGTCCTTTCTACAGCTCTGCCTCAGCTGCTCCTGACTCCTGAGCTTTGGCTCTGTCTCTCTGCCATCCTCACAGCCACGCTTTCCTTCATCTTGCCAATAAATCATTTCTGCAGGAAGGAGGTCAGTGGGTGATCCGAGTTCAGAGGTCTTCTGAGGAAGTGTCAGTCCAGGCAGCAAAGCTGTTTGGAGCAAGTTATGAGAGGTTACCCTCGGGCAAGCAGAGATGTGTGATGAGCACATTACTCCAAAGGGAGCTCATCATTTGATACAGACCTCTGGAAGCAACCAAATTCCAATTGTGCATATTAAAACTCTGAATGCTTCAGGTCTGATTTAGGCTGCTGCAAAGTCAACAGGAGTCTCTCACTGCCTCCAGTGGGCTTTTAATGTGATCCTTATTGAATAAATAATCAAGAAGTAAACCTGCATAGAATCTGATTACCTGGTCTTCAGCCTCTGAATGAACTCTCTGCTGCATTATGGAATTACAGCACTGGCATGTGAGATCCCAGTGAACTAAGAGCAGAATTTCCATTGCCCAGCTGAGTACCTCTGGTCAGGCTAATGTCTGACTTCTGCTCTGAAATCACCAGTCTGTGTTACACAAGAGGTCAGACTCTCTGATTTACAACTGTCCTTTCTGCCTTTAATAATCTGTGATGAAATCTTTTATACATGAACTCTAAGTGGCTGCCAGTGCCTGCACCAGCTGCAAACCTGCCCCACGACCACTGACCCTTTCTGCAAGTCACTGGGGCTCCAAGGCTGCTAAGATGGAGCTCTGAGATGATCCAAAAGATCTCGTTTATTTAGCAGCACAGCTGTTTGTTATTCTGTCCAGGAGCAGCAAAGCTATCAATTGCACAGAAGGAAAACATTTTAAAGCACACTAAACAGCAAATAATCCTTTGCTCAGGATATTAAAATATCCCAAACCACAAATTTCTCAGTGTTATTATTTTGTAGCAGACACCTGGCACACCAGCCTATAGAGCAAGGAGGTGATGTGCTCATATCAAGTCTGGATTTAAAGGGGTTGTCCAGACAGCCTTGTGCAGTCTGCTTCCAGTCAGGAACTGCTTCTGGAGACCCTTTATCTCCCATCCATTGTCTTACAGTCACTGCCACATTGGAATGGCATGTTCTGTTCCCATGATGAGGCTGGATGTGTGGCCAGCATGCCTGACACAGACCACCTTGGGAGGGAGAGGGTGTCTGAAGCCAGTCCTTTACTCATTTATTGACTCACCTACCATTTTTGGGACTTGCAAAAATTGCTCTGATTGCTTGCTCCCGTGAGGTCTTTGCCCTTAGATTCTCAAAAGCCGTTTTTGAGGTGCTGACCAAGTCAAGATCTAAAGCAGGCTGACTACAAGATGTTCTGCTGTCATCAGAGGCTCCTGCAGGGCCAGACCCCCCCAGATATCACAGGTGCTGGCACAGAGGGGATTACTGAGGAGGGAAGAGGGCCTATAGGCATAGACAGGCCTATAGGCATGGACAGACAGACAGACAGACCCACTTCCCCTACAAAACCAAAAACTTACAGTTTGGTTTTTTAGTCCTTCAGCCAGCAGAAATATGCTGGTCACACTGTTGCATAAAACCTACTGATGTGGAAAAGAGTTAAGTTAAGACAGAGGATGAGTGGTGTCATCTGGCATGAAGTGTGAGATTTTGGAGACAAAGGAGGACAGATTCCTGCAGTGTACTGTGGAAGGATACTGGACATGACTTTGGGGGACATTGTCTGGATGTTAACAAGAGTCTTCATCTTATTTCCTGTGATCCTCTGACACTGTGCAATCATTTTCTAGCCCTGAAAATGATGGTCAAGGTTTGATAAAAGGTATAACTCATCAGTATGTGCAGAAGTCTCTGCAAAACCCAGATGGGAAAATGACCTTGATTCCTGCAGTTAAAGAGAAAATGAGGCTTGGGCCAGTTTAATTCCCAAGGTTGCACATTGATTTCATTGGAGGTGCCCTGGGGGTGAGTTTGATTCTCAACTCTTTCAAGTTTTCAAAACAAAGCAGAATCCAGGTGGGCGGCAGTATGGAACTAATAGGGGTTTTTTGTTTGGATTTTGGGGTTGGCTTTTTTTTGGTCAGTTGTTTTAGTACAAGCTACACATGATGTACAATAATTCCTGCAAATCTGTAGGAGCAGGCAGCTATTTTACAAAGAAAAAATAAAACTTTCACCTGGAACCAGCTCAGGTTTAGAGAGATTTCCTTTTATTGATGAACATGTCTTTCTGTTTAAAGTACCCCCAGCTTTGACTCTCAGGACTGCAGCCATTCTGTCTCTCTGCAGCCACCACCTGCTGATGTGTTTGCTTGTCCAGAAGAACATATCTCTGAAAGAAAACTGGTTTTACTGAATTAATATAAAGTGGGATCAAACTGCAGCAGTTCAAGTTAAATTTCTACATGGATATGGACTCCACAGTTTGGGTATGTCTACAGCTAGATTATTGTATTCCTTGGCCATTAAATATTTTCAATACTGAGTGTTTTTCCGATTTTAAATGCTACCAATTTATACAAGCCCTATTCAATCTGACAGATGGAATAAAATTCTGAAATAGTCTAGTGTTTGAATTTGGAGATTCAAGAATACAGAGGTGAGCATAGAATTTGGAACTTGAATTTGGTTTTACAGGGACAAAAATGAAAGTGGAATCCAAAGATGATAATTTGAACTGGACCCTTTTCCATGGCAAATTTAGGTCTCTCTGTACCCACAGGGAGTTTTTCCTGGGAAGTTCTGGTTCCACACCCTGAATGCACAATTTGAATTCAGATTCAGGTCCTACCTGGCAGCCCATTGACCTTGCTGGGAGAATCATATGAACTTGCCAGTGAAGGACAAGTCTCACAGTGCCCTGGCTGGGACCTTGTGAAAATTGATTACATTCTCATGTGAAAACTCCTCATCTGAAGCCCAAAGGAACTGAGCTGGGCGTCACCAGAGTATCCCATCTGTTTGTGAGATAACGTTTTCTGCTCCCACAGCAGAAGTCAGTTTTTCCTATTAGTTCTGCTTTCTGTGCTGTCTGATAGCAGGAAGAACAAAACCCAGTGAAAATTAAAAAATGAAGATAATGCAAAGTTAAACACACCTCTTTTTGATCTTCAAATTGAGTTGATGTCAAGTAAAGCTTTTTCCCTGTGCACTGTCTTGCTTCTTTGTTTAATGGTGAATTGAGTGAGACTATTTGATTTGCCAGCTTGTGCAGTAAGTTGGAAAATAAAATTAATAAGTGGCAGTGTCAGAGTCACAGCGTGTCAGTGACCCCCGTGAGGCACAGTTGAATCAGAAGCTCCTCACCTTTGCAGTGTCCTGTTATCCTGTGATCAGATCACAAGCTTTGTGACCCCAGAACCCCAGCCCAGGCTGGGCACAGCACAGCACAGCAGGGAGGGACATCTGTGCCTCTCAGATTTTGGGGTTCTTGCTATGGGCTCTGCACAAATCAGGGTCCAGGGAAGCAGAATTGCTCAGGACAATGAGCTCTGCTTTCCTGTCTTTCCTGGCATGTTTGGAGAGGCAGGAGGTGCCCTGGGGAGGTCTCTGTGAGGAGCTGAAGCCTGAGCAGGACACTCAGCTTGGGTTCCCACTGCTCTGCCCTCCTTGGTCAGGGACTGAGTGAGGAGAATCCCACAGGGAAACTCAGAGCTCTGGGAGATGAAAGGAGGCATCACTGTGGGTAGGAGACAGTACAGGAGCTGGATACAGAGGCTTAAATGTCACCAAAGTCCTTGCTGAGAGGCTGGCACTAACATGGACCCACTGGTTGCTTTTCTCCCTGCAATTTTTTTAGAGCTCAAGGAATTAAAATTCACCAAAGCCTGAATTTCTGAAAGTTATTAAGTCTGACATAATTTTTCTTTCACAATGTCCTTTAATTGGACTGACCAACATGTTCATCCTCCCCAGTGGAGGAACATTCTTTATTCCCCTTTATTCTTGTATCAAGCTATGAGAAAGAAGGGTTGTAACCAGCTCCCTAAGATGCAGATTGCACACAAGGGTAGCACAGCAGAGCCATCCTGCTTTCTTTACCGGCTCTGCTCAGTATTTAAACAGAGTTATTTGGTTCCCACGGGAGAATTGTGCTAGAATAAAGAAAGGCACAGCACGCAGCTATTATTGGGGCAGTGATTGTAATGAGCATGGAAAATGGAACAATATATAACCTATTCTTAATAGACTCTTGGGAGGGTTATCCTCTGCTATTCCTCTGATCCCACATCCAGAATTTTTATTTTTTCTAATAATTGATAATGCCTTGTTTTTTTCAATTTGTATTGCTCAGTAAACATTAACGGCATTTTCCACAGATGGATTATCCCTTTGCCTGCACCAGATTATTTTAAACAAAGCAAACTCCCTTGTTTCTTTTCAAGCAATTATTTGATGAGAGAGCCTGTCCTTTCCAAAAAGGACACTTGACCATGGAAGGTGAAATTTTTCTGCACTGAAACTACAGTTGTGGCAGCGGGGAATGCCCTGGAGTCTGTGTGAGCTCCCTGTGTCATCACCACAATTCCTGGTGAATGCTATGGTGAGATGGAGCCATGCTGGCCTAGACCTCCCCTACCATGGAGAAGGTGCCTGAACTCCAAGAGGGAGGCAGGCTGGGAAGATGTCCAACTTTCTGTGCATGCAGGACTTCATTATGCAACTCTCATGAATAGAAATCCTCTGTCCTGGAATGGAAGTTATTAAGCTTTAACTTTGTATCACAAATGTATCAGCAGTTTTGAGATCTTCAGGTTCTTAAATATGGTGCTTAAAATGTACCAGCCTGGCTATGGAATTTTTGGGGGATTTTTTTTTCCCTTAATAAAGGTGTGTAAGAAGAACCTGGGGAAATTGAAGGGGGCCATGGCTGTAGCTCAGCAGCTGAAGCAGAGCAGTCAAGCTTAACTCAGTGCAGGTGAGGAGGATGTGAGCCTTAATGCCTTCTGCTCCATGGAAACAGCCTCCCATCCACTTCAAGGCTGAAGCATTGCTGGTGGGAGAGGGAAAACAGGAATGCCATGGAAACATCTCTGCTTCACTAAGGAAGTGCAGTGCTGTCTCTTTTGGTTTTACTCCTAGGTGTGTGCTGTGGGTCATCCCACAGCGGCAACTAAACATTTTGTTTCAGTTTTGGGAGAGGAATCTCTCCCTGACACTCACTTGTGTCTTTTCTTGGTTTTTATTTCCTTGATGCAGTGACATGCAAACTGATCCTTGCCATCTAGGACCAGGGCTACACTATGCCCCAATTAATAGAGTTTTAGTGCTGGACATGTTTTGGGGCCAACATCTCCCCTATATTAAAAGTAATGTATTTTATTGCACACCCATTAGAAAAGGTTGAGTTTGTGTGCTTTAACTGATGAGAATTCTATGCCTTCTTTGTTGTAGGAAGTGTCATCCTCAAGATGTTTCTCATGCCTATCATGCACGCAGGCTGCAGCCTGGCTAGCGTGGAACCAGCAGGACGGCACTCCTTGGTTCCTGCTGGTCCTGCTCAGCCTCGGGTGCTCGCACCATCACTTTGCTCAGGGTGTGGCAATGACACCTTGCTGGGCAGGAGCTCTCCTGGTGCACAACCGGTGCAGTTTGAGACACAGAGGTGTAAAGTGAAGCCCGTGACAGCTTGAGGGATTGCGTGGGCCTTTATCAGCCAGAACCTCTCTGAGCGCAAACACAGAAATGTTGTTGACAGACAACTTTCATAAATTGCTTTGTTGAGTGTCAGCTTCACTTCACAGCACATTGTCACATGCCAGTGCTGACACTTGTGGCAGAACTTGCTGGCCCAGTATGGCATGCTCGTCTGTAGCTTTTTCTGCATTTTCTTCCTAAGAAAATCCTTATGGTCCAAACTGGAGCCATTTTATCAGGTTTTGTCCTTGATGCATGGGTGAGAGGGGATGTTTTGCACAGTGTGTGCAGCCAGAACCATGCCTACATCACAATTAAAAATGGGGTGAAACAAAATGAATGCTTTTAGTGTACTCATATTTCTGTGCTGTATTTTCTTCTGCTGGATTTCTAATGCTCAAAATCTTTTATAGGAGCATCTATTACTCAGAGAGCAAAGGTTTGCTGCCGCCTTAGCAGAGTTAACAGTAGTTATGGGCCAGATTAGAAGAAAACATCCTTCTTTTTTATCATTTACTTTTCTGAGGCGTTTGCCCAAAGCCATGCCATCATGGCAAGGAAATTTGTCCTGCTAGTATCACATAGAGCCAGACAAGGGTTGAGGTCACTATGATGTTAAACTGAGTCACAAAACTTCCTAAATGGTTGCTGTATGTGTGGCTAAAGAAAGGAAAAAAAGAAACATCACTCATCAAGACTTTAACACCAAGTAAGAAGAGCGAGAAGCAATGAAGAGACTGTAGGAACTTCAAAGTACACAAAAAAATTCTCTGTGGATTCCCCTTTTCCCTGAAAATCGGGAAGCAGCAGATGGATAATCAAGAAAACTCACATCACCTCCTTGAGATAAGGCCTGGGGACAGAGCTTGCAAGGCACTTGAGTAAAAAAAACATGCAGGAAGCTGTAGATGGTATCTGCAAGCTGTGGATCCCCTGGATTTTCCCAGGCACCTGGAGGGTGTTGGGTTACCTGGAGTCAGCAGCTGGTGCAGGTGCTCACTGTGCAGCTGGGCTGTGCAGCCTCACTGTGTTTGGGTTATCCTGATGATGGGTTATCAGGAGTCCCTGCATTACACCACAAGCTGACTTTTGCAGCTTCCTAGAGGTCAGGAAAAAACCCCAGTATTTCCTCAGGGTTTTTGTCATGGTTTATGCCATAGGATGGGGCTCATGGTTAAGAAGGGAGCAAGGAGAGCCAGCACTTAATTTCAACACATGGCAGAAGACCTGCTCTGAGGTGGTGCAGACACTGGGTGAGAGCAGGAGCAGTTGGCTCTCCCTGTGGGCAAACTCAGTGAGTGTCATGGGAAAGTGATTAGCTCAAATACCTTGGAACAAAGGAGCAGATTATTTTGATATTTAGGCCTGAATATGGCATTTGTTGTTATGATTTGGCCAAAGAGTATTAATAAGGCAAAAGCCCAGTGGGGGAAGTGGTAAGTGAGTCCCACAATGGAAAAATTAGCACATGGTAGGACTGGGTCTCCTGTTGCCCACAGCTTTTTGGGGCTTAGGCAAAGGGTACCCTGCACATAAGGCCACAGTAATTTTCAGTCTCATGATGGAACTGCTCTAGATGATGTCAATGCCCTTGGCTAGCTGCCATGGCAGGGTGCAGAAGAGGCTGTGGTATCAAGGTGTGTTGGGGGTGTTCCATTCTGTGCTGGTGCTGGGCTTTCCCTCCACTAGGGCAGCAGGAAAACCTGTGGCTCAGTGCCTAAACAATGGTCTGATGTTTGGTGACTCGCACAGCTCAGGATCCTGCTAGCTCAACATGTTCGCCTTGAGGCTCCATTTCTTTGAGTGCACAGGTCTCCAGTGATCCTTTAATTTGGGATGCTCTCTAGTTTGTGAGGGAGATGAAATATAGGCAGTGAATTACATCATATGGGGCTGGGTGTGTGCTCCCAAGCTGAACATGTGTCAGTGGCCTTGCTGCAGTGCTGTGGGGCTGGAGGGCAGCAGGAACCCACTCTGACCCGATGTGTAGCACAGGGGGATTGCCCGCTCTAGGTGCAGCATTGGGCAGCAGAGCTGGGGGAAGAGGCTTTTATTTCAAGGTTTTAGCTTTTCCAAAATACAAAAGGACGTGCTTGAAATTCATTCCTTCACGCTGATCCTGGGAATCCTCCATAACCTTGAGCTCTGGCTGTCTCTTTGCTCACCGAGCCCTGACGCGCCCCAGCATCGCCTCGTGTGTGGGGAGGGAGTGAGGGAGGCTCTGGGGCAGAAGTGGCTTTGCAGGAGCACCGTGGCCAGCCCTGGCACAGCCCTGGCACTGCCCTCTCCCTGGCACTGCCAGCAGCAGCTCTGCCTGTGTGGCTGCCAGCCAGCTGAGGCACTGGCTGGGACGGCACAGGTGCCTCCACAATTAAGGTGGTATTTGAAATTTCACAGGTGCCCGTTATGAGTGATGCAAACACCCACTCAGTGTGTAACTGCAAGGCTTTAGGCTGGTTCCCTGTGTATAAAGAACTGTTCTGTTCCCTCTCCAGGCCCTTGAGTGATTGCTTTTTTCCTTTTGTTTTCACTCCTCGCAGGACCTGTGCCCATGGCTGAGCAGCAAAGGCTTCCCAGGCCCCTCACCCAGGGCAGTGCCTGTTTTTGTCACAGCAGCTCCAGCACTGCTGCTGCTGCTCGTGCCCAAAGTGGCCAGAGATGAGGCAATGTGTGTGATCTGTAACAGGGCACCCACTGCCCACCCTGCCCTGCTTCAGTCCCACCCAGCAGCGAGGGTTCACTGCTGACCCCCCACCCACAGGGAGAGAAAGCACCAGACAAGGAGAGCCTTGCCAGTCCCCACTAAAGCCCTGGTTGCTGTAGATGGGCTCAGCACGGGGCATCCCTCACCCCACTGCCCTCCTGCTGGCCTTTTCCCACTTGGGAACTCGTTACCTCTGAAGTGCTGCTGCAGCATCTGCAGCCCTGGCACTGGCAGGACTCGTGCCCACACCCAAATCCAGGCTGCTGCAGCACCTCAGGGCCTCAGACCATCACAGTGGTAAGGCTGGGGACTGGAGGGGTTTGCAGCCTCTGCTTTGAACATGTGTGGTATGTGTGGAGCCAGAACATTTAGGGAGACCCCAGCTGCTAGAAGGAAATGTCCTCACCCTGGCACAACTGGACAGGCACAACCACCCATGTTCCTCTACACCTGCTCCCTCCTAGGCACACCCACCCCCACATCCCTCTTTCCATTGCTCAAGTCCTGTTACCCTCTCATACAGCACATGCCTTACTATTTCCATCTGACAGCAAGGATTTCAGCAGCATTTCTTGATCTGTTTCATATTTTAAAGCAAGCAGCTATCCCTCCTGCCCTTTATGTCCTAACTCTACCCTAATAAATATGATTGCTTCATCCTGTGAGACCTGAAAACCCATTTCTGAAATTCCCCTGGCAACTAATACAGTAAAACAAGCATATAAATAATTATGATAGAAAGGCATAAAATGCCAGACTTGGGTCAAATATACTCATGGAGTGACATTAGCAACAAATAACTACGCAGGGTTTGAATGTAGATGGAAAAGGCTGAATAAAGAGTAGCTACTTCATTGCCCATAACTGCCAGGCTCCTAATTTGGGCAGGCCATATTTTACTGATAGCAGAGCAAACACAGTCATAATGTACCCCTACCTTTCCTGCTTTGTGAAAAATCCCATCCATCCCCAGGGAAGCAAGGATGTAAAAAATAGCGGTGTGAACGTGAGGTGAAAGGATAAGACAGAAAGCACAGTCACAGGATGCAATTCCCATGTGTTTGTTGCACATCATATGCTAAGTTCAATTTTCCAAAAGCTTTGTTTTATTTTTAAAGGTAACATCTTTATTATTATTATTATATTTATTAGTTATTATTATTATTATTATGCAGAGATGAGATTTTTCCCCCTTTGATCACAGAGCAAACAGTTTGCTTTTGAAAATGTTAATGGAGTCCTGATTTAAAACATTTTTTCTTCACTTTTTTTTTTGTTGTTGTTGTTTTTTAAAACGTTGCAACAGGCAGGATCTGGGTTTCGATTTTCTCGTCCTACACAAAGAAAGATTCTGGAGTTCACACTCCAAGCCACTACCGGTAGGTCCTGCCTTGCCCAGTTGTCATCATCTCAGTGTGGTTTCGCCAGGTGGGGTGGGTAGGTGGGTGGGAGGGGAGGAGTTGGAAGAAGGGAGGGTATTTGTCAGCTATGTCGAGTCTTGGTTAACAACTTTGCCTCCATTCATGGTTGGTGTCCCTGAACTTTTCCTTGAGCGTCCTTGTTTTTCTCCAATTTCATGCAGCGATGGCTCTCTGTACATGCACACTGCAAACACAAGAGACTCCCGTTAACAGCCCTGAAGTCACACACAGTCATGACCATAACAAATTATTTCTTTGTACATGATGTTAGGTTCCAGCCCCATTGCAAACACACACCCACACACACCCACACTTACAAAACCCCAACTGACCCAGCAGCAGATCGTGTTACCAAGCAGGAACTGTTTACTTGCCCTTGCTGCCATTTGCTTCTGTCTCTGTATTCTTTCAAAGGCAGAGAGAAACAGCAGATTGACTGCTCACAGATAAATCTTTCTAGTTTTTATGTGCTTTATAGCTTTTTCATGTTATATTCATATAGATAAAATAACCATTTTAGCTCACAGAGCCATGTACTGCCTTGAGATGCTGATTACTATCTAACAACAGGTTCAGGAATGACCCGGTTCCAGCCCTTGACCTGCCATCAAAGCCCTTGAGAGACCTGAATCAAAACTACACCTGCAGCTGAGCCACGAAGGCTTTCTGGGTGTTGAGCTGTGGATCTGAAGTGGTGACTCAAGCCCATTTGGCTCCATCAGCCAAGAGCCAAGGTCTGCTCTCAGCACTTCCTATTTATTCCTCAGTAAATCAAGCCAGCCAGCCAAGGTCAGGGCTGTGAGCAGACACATGGGATGAGTTCAGTGACAGCAAGTCAGGAGCTGTCCCAGCTTTCTGTGGTTGTCTGGCAGCACCTGAGAGCAGGGTGCTGGAGGGCACCTTCTCTCCAGACCCTGGCTATGCAGTGTGTGTCCTATAAAAATGAGCTCGCTGGAGCCCAGACAGCCGGAGGAGGCAACGTCTGCCCAAGGCATGGCTCATCCCCACGTCCTGGGCAGGACAAAGCATTTATCCAGCTCACCATGTGGACTAAGTCCTCATGGCTGTCCTCGTGCCATGTGAGGTGTGCCAGAGCAGGGGCACGAGCTGTTCACACCAGGGAGAGCATCTCTGATGAGCTCACTGCAAATGTGGAAGGGTGCAAATGAGATTGAAAGAGTAAGGCATCTCAAGGGCAGGCACAGTGGAGTTGAGAACATAAGGCAGGTCCAGACTGCAAATGTCATGTCCAGATCTTTGCAAAAATTAGGAAATGAAGAAATGATTATGTACTGCTTCACTTTGTGGTTATCACATCACAAACAATGGCACAGAGCTCCAACACAGGGGAGAGCCTATCAGGGTTTGGTTCTGGGTAATCAACAAGAATAAAACTTTAAAAATTATCTGAAGAAATGGAAAAAACCAGCCCATGTACAAAAAGGCAATGTAAGCATTTGCATCTATAATCTCCCTTGATTTGCAAATAAATCCCAGCAATTAGAGGCAGGCTGAAAATGACATTATTGCTCGGTGCTTTTACTCCTGACTAGATAAACAGTTACAGCACTGTGCAACAATACAGGACAAAGATAAAGTGCAGTCAACTGTGTATTAATAGGAGGGATATTGAATTGAATATATGAGCAGTGAAAAAATATTACTTTTCACATAGCATATTTTTCATGCAAAGCTTTCAAAGCAGTTTAGACACACAAACACACACACACACAGGTCCTCCCAGCAAGCCTGAAAGGAAGTACTGCTCTGCAAACTGTTACTGCAACTGGAGCCATTTTTTCATGAAATTTAGAAGGAAAAAAGAGAAAATGAAGGAGTTGTCCCATGGGTTTGGGCCAGGGTGAGCTGTGTCAGGACTGCCCATCAGGTCCAGACAATGGATGCTGTCTGCATGCTGCAAGAACAATGTGTAACATGGCAGCAACAGATGGAAAAGGGCTCTCACATCCCCTTTCAGTCCTGAGCTGCCCCTCACACCTTGGGGAGGATCACTCAACAACGTGGTGATGGTGAATTTGCCTGTTGGGGTGAAGTACCCAATAAAATCCTAAAGGAAGTATGAAATGGTTAACAACAGAGGAAAACCCATGCCCTTGTGATTTCTTAGCCTGAGCTGCAGAGTCTTTGGATAGCACTGAGGGTGTGCTTCACTGCTGTGACTCACCTTATTCTCGGCTGTGATGTTTGCCCAGCAGAATTATGTATTTGTGCCAGTGTTGTCCCAGTGCCCCTGACGTTCCATACACATAGTTTTGTCTCAAGTGCACTGTTGCCTTCATCCTGACCTCCCTCATCCCAAGCTGGAGCTGGAGGGACCTCCATGAGTTCTTCCCCCAGAACCAAGCTCATCTCACTCACACCCATCCCCAGTAACCCATCAGGCTGGGTCAGATGAACCACAAGGACTGAGCCCAGGTGAATGATGCAGCAGCACCATGGCATGCAGCCTTTCCTCAACTCCCTGCCTCTCACCACGGCCTTTGGCAAAAACCTTGAGCTGCCAACAAGGCCCACAGAGTAAAGAATATAAACCAGGCTACTGAAGTAAACATTTGCAGCTACAAATGAAGGAAACCCTGAACCTGACAAATAGGGCAGGAATTATAAGTTTTATCTTCCAGTCTAGTGCAGGACACAAATACTGCTGTGGGGCATCGTGTGAAGACTGCTCACACTGAGTTTTTCAGACAAAGCTGTCAAAGCCTCTGTACCAGACAGGCTGTGCCAACAGCCCATGCCAGAAAATCGGTAGCAGTATAGGACAAGCATATTTTCAGTATTTAGACACACCTATAGGATCAGTGCATGCAGTACTTACGTGGCATCATGCCTGGACATTCTCCTACTCAAGAGGCTTTGCACATGTGCTGAGCAGTGGCCATGGCTGTAGACCCCTGCACTGTGGCACACAGATGTGCACACCTGCATCATCTGCACAGGCACAGGGCTTCAAGGCCAGCCCAGCACGTTGTGCAGCACAGGCTCCTGGACTGCAGTTTGCTCCTCTTTGCACTGAGGAATTCTGAGCGTGACTCACGCAGGGAGATGTTAGTCATGGATGGGGAGGGGGTGTTTGCAAACGGACCCGTGTGAGTGCCCAGATCCTCACAGCTTTCAAAGTACATCGCTGGGCTCCAGGACTTGCAGCACTCACTGCCAGGTCTCTTTGGGATCCCTCTGTGTGTATGTGTGTGTAGACACACTTCTCTGTCACCTGCACTGAGGTAAAGCAGCAGCAGTGTGACAGTCATGCCCGGACACCTGGGAGGTCTGCTGGAGCACACAGCAAAAGGAGCTTTGGAAGGATGAGCAATTCAGCTAGAACAAGAGCTCCCTCCCTGCTTTGCCTTGCTTCTCCCACCCACCCACACCCACACACCTAGCCAAATACAGCCCTTAATGTCTAGAAACCAAGCTATTGCTTTGGAGTTTCAATCAGATAATCAGCTCCTATGCCCCAGATTCTAATCAACACATCCATATTCATGCTTTATTTGGAAAGTGCTGTTAGCTTGATCTGCTGAAGACCTGCAAGTATTAATGGAAGGGGGTGAACGCAGTGGAGCTGTGCCCATGTCTGGTTCTTGTGGCTTTTGATTCCCTGCTCTCCTGTGAAGCAGCAGTGCCTGCCACTCACAGGCACAAGGGAAAAATCTGCACAAAGATCAGATCAAAATTAGGAAGGAGACTGAGGGTACAAGTGAGGAGGACGGGGGTGGCAGGGACCATACTTCCTGAAGGCAAAGGCGTGGAAGGGGCTGCCTGTCACCCAGAACAGCTCAAACTCTTGCCTACATGCTGGCACAGGATCACACTCTCATTTCTGTTTCCCAGACACGGCACTGGCACATCACCCACATGATGACACTGAAATCACCCTGGGCATCAGGGACTGCCTGAGTTTGGGAAGCATCGTTTTGCATCCTGACCCCACCATTTCTCACTTGGCATCACTGCAAGTTGAGGAGGTTCAGGGGATGCAACAAACTCCCTTTCCTTTCTCTAGAATATGGCAAAAAGCTTATTAAGCACATTAGACATTTTCCATCTATCCATCTTCACTCTGTGTCTTCCCTTGTCTCAGACCTTTGCGAGTCAGGAGGAACCAAAACTCTTCTAAGCTGCTGTTCAGCAGGTGGGCAGCCCTGCAGGATCACCGTGTGCCCAATGGTGCCAGAATGGGCAGGACTGGAAGCACATCCTCTGGTAGCAGCCCTGCAGGCTCCTTGCCTGCCTGCACAGATACCACAGCTCTGGGTGTTGGTATCTGCCCGAGTGGCTGTATTTGCCAATGCTTTGGTGCAGGGAATTAACTGCCTGAGCAGCAGCACTCAGGGACACCAGGGAGTGAGTGATTAGGCATCCTCCTTTTCTGCCTCTAATTACTGTGTTCTAAATCCCAGCTGATGCATTTCAGAGGCATGTGAGCTCATGTCTATCTGGTGTGAAGACAGACACGTAAAATGTGAAGGATGTTGCCTGGTGGAATCACACTTTGTTCAGATAAGAAAGACAGCACAGGATGGCAAAAAGCCAAGCAAAATCATGGTTAAAATACAGCACATTTGCCATCTAATAAGATGATTGAGAGTCTGATAGATGAACAAGTGAGTTATTGTGGCATAAAAAACATACCAAAGCCTGCCCACCTGGAAGACAGACCCAAGACAGGAGCTGTGTTAGCAAAGACTTATAGAGTGTGGAGATGTTAAGGTTTGATTTTTTAAGAATACTTTTTAGGATGTTGGGAAAGTAATGCTGTACTACGAGCAGGTAGTAACAGGACAAGGGAGAACAATTTTAAATTAAAAAAGGAGAGATTTAGGATGGACATTAGGAAGAAATTCTTCTCTGTGAGGGCAGTGAGGCACTCCCACAAGTTCCCTAGAGAAGTTGTTGATGCCCCATTCCTGGAAGTGTCCAAGGCAAGGCTGGATGAGGTCCTGAACAGCCTGATCTGGGGAAGGTGGCATCTGTCCCCACAGCAGGGGATTTGGACTAGATGTTGTTTAAGGTCCCTTCCAACCCAAGATTTCCTGTGACTCTATGCTTTATGTATTAAGATGATACCTTTGAAGTCTTTTCACAAGGCCTACTGCATTTTTCTAGTCAACAGTCTTGTACTTTAAAACATCTGAGGACTGCCTTAGCAAAATTTGGATGTTATTTCCCTGAGGAATGACACTGGGAAGAATCTGGCTGCTTGGATACTCATCAGTGGTAATAAATGGATCCACACTAGTCGTTAACAGGTCACCTTTGTATCTGAGACATGCTCACATCATGAGGGCTGAGGTGCCATAAATTCAGAGTTAGGGACTGCTCTGCTGACTTGGAGGAAGTTTTCTGCTTCTGTGGCCAGATTTGCCACCCTAAATGTTTTCTAGTTTGGGCCAGGAGAGAGAGGAAATGTAACTCTTTGGGACAGTTACGTTTGGAAATTATGTCTTCAAGAAGAAAGAAATATGAGTAACAGAGCACATCCACAGTATGCATCTGATAATATTCCTACTTAAATGACTGGAAACTTCTCACATTGAGATGGATTTGGATATTGAGAAGAACAAAAGGCACTATGGATGGTAGGATTGTTCCAGCACTAATCATTACAGACACTTAAAGAGACTGAAATTTCTCTAAAAGATTGCTTGTTGTCCAAATGACAATTATACTCAAGCTCATTTCTTGTGCAGTCTAGTTCAATCTTGATGTCTTCCTTTTAGGGTTCATTTAGCTTGAATAATCAGGGATCAGAAATAAAAATATCAAAAGAAATGTGTTGCGTATGTGTGTTTTGAAGCAAAACTGGCACCACACAGTACATCAACTGCTGCCTACCAGGCTGTTTGCCTTGGCTGTGCCTGTGCACAGATGGGAGAAGAACTTAACGTCTCCCCTGTTATTACTTAGTAAGTTTTTTGTGCTTTTATATTGATTAAGCTTAATCTTATTTCCAAAAACAAACAAATCCTACCTACACTAAACTAAAAAAAACTCCTACCGACCAAAACCCAAAACTTTTCCAGTTGTATCTGTTGAATTTTGTACAAAATACCTCCAGCCTCCTGCCAATCTACGTGAGTCAAAACACTGTGAGTGTTTAGCACAGCAGAAAGCTGTAGCTGCTAAAAGCCATAGATAACACACATCCATACATAGATGCCACTGCGTATATATGCATATGTACTCCCATGAGTATTTAGAAATAATCTGTGAGGCTATTTCTTATTTATGTATAAGTTTTCTGTCCATTTGCAATTTCAAGGAGACTTCTGAATTCAGAGAGCAGGATGAAGCAATGGGAATCAAATGAGCTTAGGGAGCAATCTGGGCTTTTTTCTCTTTCCCTTCCCTGTGAACCCTTTCTTCACTAAACTGCTGCATAGTGTTTCTGTATATCAGAAACAGCTGGGAAGTTTCATCTCAGATATAACTGCTATTGAGTGGTAGGTGAAGTGATTCCTAGCAATGGATGTGGCACTTCTCCTTCCCAGGGGGAGCAGATTCCTCCTTGCACACATTCCTGTGTCAGCCATCACGGGACAGGGCTAATGCTGGTGGTGGTATCCAGCAGCAGGAAACCTGGGGGTGTGACTGTGGATGGAAGCTGTGTCCTGAATAAGCAGCAAAGCCCACACACTGGGGCAAGCCACAGCATTCTGCTGAACTGACATGCAAATACAGCAGGAGAGTGCTTTGAGTATTTCCTTGGAGTCATAACAAAGAGAAAGAAGCTGGGTAGGAATTGTCCCTTTTCTGTAACATCTCTGCTTGCAAGCTCTGCTCCTGGGGACTTTGATGGACGTGGTGCAGAGAAGTCACGTGGAAATGAGCAGGTTTTACTCCAACCCTCCCCGCAAGCCTCTGCTACCTACAATGAATCTCAGGCTTGGGAACAGAGTCCTCCGTCTGGAGTCCCAGTCCCAGACAGCTTTGGGAAGCTGACACGTGCCTTGGCTTGGGAGACTGCCAGCTCTTTGATGCAGCAGCGCTCACAAAGCCTGACTGCAAAGCGTGTGGAGGAGGGAAGGAGTGGAGGAGCCCTTAATTTGGCTGCCAAGTTCCAAAGCTCTCGCTGCTCAGAGGTTATGTGACAGCTGTGATTGAGGCAAGTGTGGGAGGATGCAACTGCGGGAAAGGGAAGCTCTCGGGCTGGGCTGGGTTATTCAAAATGAAAGCCAGAGCGGCATTTGTTGAAATGAGATCTCTGCTGTGGGTCAGGCAGCTCTGTTAAAGCAAGGCTTTCCATGAGGAGAGCCACAGGAATGGCCTAGTTTAATGAATGCAGAAGGAAACTGTTGAGCTGTTCAGCAGACACTGTGCATGCTAGATTAAAAAAGAAGCCTGGATTCAAAGGACCCCACTGATCAATGCCAACACCCAGCCAGGCAGAGAAGAAATACCATAGGAGGTGGAACCCCAGCTGTGAGAGCTGGTGCTTGTAAAAGACTGTCCTCGTGGTCAAGGCAAGAGAGAAGCTGGTGACCAACCCCATGCCTGAAGCAGGCCCTGTTCCGTAGCAACACACCAGGGCTTAGGGTACCAATCCCACTAATGCCTCTGATAAACAACAAAGGGCTCCTGGATGCAGAGAAGCTGTTGAAACCAAGCACAGGACAAGCAGCTCCAGGCCATTCTCTGCTCTTTCAACATTTCCATTTCCTGTGCAAAGCCCACAGATACTCTGGGAATGCTTCACTGAATTTCTCTAATGCTTTGCTTCAGATGGTCTTTTCCTTACACAGAACTTCTCACCCCTGAGCTGGGAAGCTTTTAAAAAGGCCACTGCTGTGTGGAGAGAGCTCTGGCCTCCACCACTTGTGAGTGGCACCTGTTAGGGGAGCATCAGTTCAAACCTTCTCCCACAGCCAGCATGGAGTAGTGAGAGGGAGCACAGAGCTGTGCAGCCAAGGCCAGCTCCAGGCTACTGTGTCCCTCACGGAGACAAATGCCAGGAAAAAGATGGGGTCAGAAAAGATATCTAGCTTGAGGATCAAAAAGTAGTGCTTTTCCCAAGAAAGAGATAAAAATGCTGTTTCCAGAATCAAGTTAGTACCTATTAAGTACTGGGCTTACCACACTATCTCTCCATTTATTAGGGGCCAGCCCACAAAAAGCAAAATGTCCTGGCAGGAGCCTGAGGCGCACTTCAGAGAGGGTACAGGCATCTGCAGGAGGGCAGAACTTCAACTCCATGACTTTCACTGAAACCTCACACTGTGACCAAGACATATGGCATGACAGCATCCCATCTAACTTTGGACAACAACTCTACCCCACAGTGACTAACTAGGATGTCTTTACAGATGAGGGAAACAGATTTAATCTCAGGGTAGACATAAAAAGAACATCCACAGCTGTGCTGGTAGGACCCATTTTTCTTCTGTTACTATGAATGGAGTGCCAAAGTCTAAAATCAGGTAAGATGAATCCTGTCTCTACTGACTCTATATGGGACTGGAAATCTACTGAAATACACTGGCAAAATCCTCTGAGAAGAAAACATTATGATCACTGCTACATCACATTCCTTTGGAACTGCTAGCTGCTTTTCTTTACCAGTAATTTCTTGGGCTGCTGGGCTTTTAAATTCATCCTTTAGCACCCCAAAGCTAAGAAACCCCTTTGAGGCTAGAAGGAAAGCAGAGGAAATGCTAACAATGCAGCCCAGCACTTACCTGAAGTGCTACAAACATTTCTTCTTGCTTTCTGGTCTCAAAGCCCAACACCCCCACCAGGAAACCCCAACTCTGAAGTTGTTACTTTCCCCTACCCAAACTCCACTGAGGGAGAAAGGGGGTAGATTCCATACCTTCAATGGGTTTGGGTACAAAATGTGATGAGGGTTTGGTTTTTTTCACTCGGTTTCCCTTCATAATTTGACCTTCTTTATTGAGTCCCAGGAACCACGCTCGTCCCGATTCCTGCTGCCGGTACAGCGTGGAAGAATAAATAACGTAGTAGTTTTCAAAGACAGATTCTTTAAATTTGCACTCTGGTGTGAAAACATCCTGCAGTAAGAGAGAGAGAGAGAGAAGAAGAAAAAGCAATGGAAGAATTAATAATCACGGATTTTCTAAATTAGGCATCACTGAGTGATACACAACAGTCACGCATTGCAGTTAGCAACAGAAAACAACAGGCATCAGCAATGCCGGCTCCAGCACTAACACCCATGTAGACAACTCCCAGCTGAAAGGAAAGGCTGTCCTTCCCTGGCAGAGCTGGGCTTTGCAAAACAGCCCACAGTGAACAGGCATGAAAAATGTGCAGGAAAAGTCAAAAATTTACCAGGATTTAGACTTTACTACTAAGCAAAAGAAAGAAAAAGAGAGTTGAGAAGCAGAGACAGCCTTGCTCTTCCTTATGCCTTCCCCTGGCTTTGCTCATACCTTCTCTGATGGGCAAATGTACAATGCTTGTTGTCTAAAATATTGAGGTTGCTTCAAATTCTTAGAGGCAAAAGGCAGTTTATTGAACCATTTAAGAGGATTCACAGAAATGAGAGTACAAAAGCAAGGAAACCATTTAATTTCAAAAGCGGTATGAGGAAATGCTGGCACAAAGCCTGGAAATCTTTCAATAAAGAGAAAGAAGTAATTTTCAAGATTTCTGGCATAAGTATTTCTGCAGATACCGAGAAGCATTTCCACACCTGCCCTGGAGCAGAGCACATATGGATCTGTCCAGGACATCCCCTATGCCTGTGATGGCTGTGGGAGAGGCTGTGCCATTGCCACTTGCCCTGGCTTTGCATGAAGTCTCCAGGACAAAACTACACTCAGCTATGGACTGGTACTTGTTATGTCCCAGTGCTCAAGATTTTCAGAACAGAGAAACATTAAACCTCTTTTAAAAGATCTGGCTGGCCAGGGGATTCTGTAAGAGTGGGTTCCCCAACCTTCAGTGAGTTATATGTGATTGTTAGTGAGTTGGGTTTTGTTCCCAGACTTTGAGATCGAGCAGAAAACCTATCCTAGCCAAACAAATTCTCCCACTAATTTTCTAAAAAACAATCTTGCAAAATAAGTTCAAGCCACAATGAAAATTCATTTTCTGAATCAAAAATGTTTCAGCAAAAAAATCCCTTCTTACAGGTCCCAGACAAGGCATTTCTGAGGCCTTGAGTGAGTGAAGGCAGGTGCTTCTACAGGCAAGTGATGCTCCGTCCCAAACCTCAGCCATTCCCAAGTCTTTGGGATTTTCTCCAGCCTTGCCAATGCAAAACCCATGACCAACATTGAGCACAGCATCTGGAGTAATGCCACGTGTTCACTGCAGACCTTGTTTAAGAGCAAACATTCTGAACACTCAGCAAACCTCAGGAACGTGTTCCCAAGTGATCTGGGGGTTATATAAAGTGTTGCTGGTGTGACAATAAATCCAGTGTGCAACAGACCCGCAGAGACTGGCAGGCTCGAAGCTACAGAAGATAAAGCACAGCAGAAAGCACAGAGCTGTGCTGCACACGTGAATTCTGCATCAATCATTAGCACCACACAGGTAAAAATACCATCAGCAAAATGGGCCATTTTGCCTTATCTGAGGGAGTCCTTTGTGCCAGAGAAATAAATATTTTTAAAAGAGCATGAAACAAGTTAAGAGAGATCTAGATGACTTAGAGCACTATAAAATGGTGTTTGAAGTACCTTCCCAAAAGAACAGTGTTTAAGTGTTCCTTAATCTGCCCTTTATCTCCGGGCTTTGGCTTGCCTGGGAAGGCACAGCTCACCTGGGAGCTGGGTTTGCAGGAGCTGCCTCTGAACTGCTGGCTCGGGGGCACTCCCTGGCACCAGCCCAGCCAGGCAGCAGCTCTCAAACCAAACTGGACAACTCAATCCCCTTTGCCATGCCTTCATTACCCCATCACTAAAAGCTGATCAGGAAAATTCCCTTTAGGGGGACTAAAAAGTTGGTGGGCTGTGAAAGATAGCTCCCAACTTGACTTAAAACGTGGAATTAAGACTATTTTCAATGAAGAAGAAATATCAAAGCTAATGCATTTCAAAAATGTAGTTTCACAAAGAAAAGAAAAAAGATATTTTAATTAGAAGTTATTGCAAGTTAAGTTTTCCGCTCAATATCTATTTTAAAATTACTGCAGTGTAATATTTTATGACATGCAGTAGTAGTTCATAAAAGCAGATGCTGTATTGTATACTCACTTGTACCAATTACCTCACAAAATTCTTATATTATTTTAAAGCAAATGCATGTAAAGACATCAAAGTAATGAAGATTTTAAGAAAATAAAGAAAAATCTATTGATTTCCTTTAAATGTTTGCGCTCCTCCACATGCAAACAAAAGCATCCCATTTGTTTTGTGAGCTGGCTGGTTGATTCCTCATCTCCCATAAGTCAGTGGAAACAGCACTTCAGGATTTGAACCATGGCAACACTACTATGAAACACCCCAGCTCTGTCCATTCAGCAGCCTAGAAACCCCACAGATCTGAAGCTAAGTTCTTGTTAAATAATACTGGGTTTATCCACTATTACCCTTCTTATGGACATCATGTCACCTGCAACAACTGTGCCATGTGCAGACACACACCCATGGGACACTGCTCATCCTGCCACCAAACTGACCCATCCCAGGGTCCTCACAGGTCTGAGCAGCAGGAATCTCTGTGGGCACTGCCATGGACTTGACACAAAGAGCAGGAGGATGAAGAACCAGATGACTGGAGAGGAGACAGGGCAGAGGAGCAGGACTCAGGCCACTCTCCCAAGAACTGCCTCAGGATTTTTAGAGTGTCTTCTAGATCTCATTAACATGCAAACCTTATGTTTTTCTTCACTGGAGTCTTCTTGGTGCTCCATGGCCAGCCTTCAGCTACACTGCACCATTTAGTTTCATCACTTGCCTTTTGCTGTCAGCTTTGGGGCTACCAATAACAAAAGGCTATTGGGATATTAATGGCGGAACATCTCCACAAGCTTCACTGTCAAAATTAATTGTGCAATTATGCTGAATCAGGTGGGAACTACTGTTTCAGTTGTCTTAGGCTGAGATAAGCTGGAAAGAAAGACAGAAGTGGGCACAACAGACTGCACAATAACAAAGCAGTTTGTAGCAGCCACTTCTGTAGACAGAAATCTGAGATAACAAAAGGTATTTTTAAAAAATCACTGATCTATTCACCAGATCTCTGGGCCATGCATGATTTAGGGTTTTTAAATTTGTTTGGTTTTGTTTATAATATAAATGCTAAATGAGCAGACCTGGAGTCAATACTTTCTCTTCATCTCAGATAAGGAGTGGGTAAACACAACAAAGGGATCCTCAGGCTGTGCCCCCCACGTGCTTCTGACAGGACATAAGGACATCCTGCCCCAGAGGTAATGCTATGGTAAAGCCCTGGGCATGAGCACCACCTCACTTCCTCACTTGCTGCAGGGACCCTTGGAAACAGGGTTATAACCAGTCCCACTCAATTATTTTTCCAACTCTCTCCTTGATTGAAAAAGCATGACCACGTATAAGACAGTGAGAGGACATATGGCTTCTATATTTTAATCACCAGTCATTTTCAGTCTTTAAACAAAGAAATAAACAGTGACTCCATTTTCTGCACAAAGTCCACAGAGGTCCCCTGTCAGGACTGTCATCAACTCAGCTCATTCAGAAAGCCCATCAGTTCTTCTCATTAAAGAGTATGCTTGTGATTTGTAGAAAAAAAAGATTTTCTCAATTTAATTGAATATGAAATAGGTCTTTGACTGAATTATTTTTGCATACAAAGTAAATAAATACATTTATTTTTTTACCAGCTGGAGATTTAGAGCCTGAGGTATTTTGTTAAGTGTCTACAGATATTACTGAAAGTGGCTTGGAAAAGCAGTTGTTTTTTAAGTTATTAAATTAAAACTTGTATGAAATATTTGCAAAAAAACCTCATTAGTTATTTACATGCAAAATTATTAGCATCTGCTTGCAACTTGTATTTTGCATCTCAATCCAGTCCCTTTGAAGAAAAGGCAATTGTACTAGAAAGAGTAATTAGATTTGCTTTGAAAAAACAAACATAGGTCTAGTTTGTGCTAACTGTAGTTTTACTGGAAATTTCAGTCGAAAAAAACAACCCCAACACAGTAGCTATCACACAGAAAAAAGGGAGATCACATTCAATGGCAGCTGGAACCAAGAGGAGCTAAATGGATGCATCTGCCATTGGGGGGGATTCAGCGTGCCAGACGTGCTCAGGGAGGGTCTGAGGTACCACGGACTGACCCAGAAGTTATTTCTGGATTAGAAAACCAACATGTTTCATTTATCCCAGTAGTGTCTCCTGCCATCTGTAGATGGAAATACAGATGTGACTTCCAAGCACAAGCCAATCTCTGCATCACTTGAGCTGGTTTGGTTCTGCTGGGAGATGTTGGGAATGTCTGGGCTCACCTATCCTCACCACAGCACAGACTGGTGGTGGCTTCTGAGAGGGCATTTTTTTTCTAATCCACCTCAGCTTTCATCTGTCCTGGTCAGGTAGATCTAGCCCAAACTCTTTGAACACAGGAAGTTTGACTGGACCCTCCTCTGCATTTCTGTAAAGCTGGAGAAATTCCATAGACATCAGTGCAGAAGAACTGCTGTCAGACCTGTGGGCATGAAGCTGCAGGGCATTCAGCAATGCAATGACAGCCTCAGAGATCTCAGCTTCCTCAAAAAATGCCAACCCAACAGTGCTGTAGCCCTGGTGCAATCACAGTACTGCCAGGGCAATGGATAGCTCTGGTGCTGCTCAAGCAAACAGTGCCAGCCCCTGGCATACCAGCCTGGGAGCATCCCTGCCACTGAGCATCCTCAGCCAGGAGGGGCAAAAAAAAGGGTCCCCAGTAAGCAACAGCATGGTGCATCTGGGTTCTGATCACAAGAGCCAGCATCTGCTCCCCAGAAGCCCCTGGTGTCCCCAGATCATGGCAGAAATGGTGACAGGTTTCCATATGCAGTGCTCAGGGAAAGCCAGCAGGAAACTGTCACAGGCTGCTGTTGTATTCAAACCCAGC